AAAAAAAACAACGCTCATAAATATAACATCAACTCAAAAAGGTTGACGAATAACTGCTCGAGTCAGCTCGAATCATTATAAAGAATTCGGAAAATATAGATAATCAGGTTGTTTTTAGTTTTTTATGGTAAGGCAAATTTTCTGCGTTTTTGAGTCAGAATAAAGTGCTTTCGTGTGACAATCGTCACTTATTTGAAGAACAAAACAGATAAAGGAAGCAGTATAACTTGAAATATGTCTCAGTGATTGCCTTTATTCCAAGCCAAGCTAAACAAATGCCTGCGATGCGGAGCATTAACTTTTTCCGGATTGAAAATTGTGGAGCCTTATTACCCTCAATTTTATTAAGCTTTGGTAAATATTAAAAAAAACAACAAAAAGGTTGGTAAAATACCAGGAACGGCAGTATTTACATCCACTTTTTTTTCTCAATGGAATCGCGGCCCGGAGCAGAAACCAGGGTCTATTAAACGAAATCTTGGGACAAAATAAATATTCTTGAATAGAGTTCCCTTAAAAAATCCGAGTTAATGTCTTTCGAAAATGGTTTACTTGGAAGCTATATAACACAGTCGTAAAAAAAACAAAAAACAATAACATTTGTCTATCACTCTTTTTATTCCTTTCTACTAGGACCTATTTAAAGTAATTGAACTGACTCAGCTGATGCCTGTGTGCACAACGATGGACTAACATGTGGTCGGTGCCATCTTACAAAACCCGTTTTTTTAGAAGAAAGAACATGCTACTTTATACGAAGGGGAGAGAGAGGGAGGCTAAATACTACCCCAACGGGCGCTCCGTTTACCTCCACTTCCATCCTGGTCTTTCTCTCTCTTGGACGAGCTCCGGAAGTCAGAATTGACGCCCCCTCTGACCGGCAGTCCATTTGTGCCAGCACTTCGAACATTACTATCGACATCAAGGGAGGCGTGACCACCAGCCTCCAACTTACTGGACTCCTGTGCGGAGGAATCAAAACCCGACTGCTGGGCAGTCTCGCAAACAAGTTCCTCTTCTTTGTGCCTACTCAGCTTATCTGCTTCCCCTGCTACTGCTTGCAGTAGGTCAGCATCAGCGGACTTCTTTAGACAGGACGAGGACGACAACGAGGATGAGGAATTGGAGGACGTGGACGAAGTAGAAGACGGAGCAGTTATCTGACTTGGCTGACAGGTGGGGTTGAAGGCGGCCGTTGCTTGCATATTAGTGACGATGATGCGGATGCAGATGACGAAACGAAGGTATAGAATTTGGTGACGACGACAGCAAAATAGAGGGGTCGGTGGTAGACGTCGGGGGG